CCAGCCTTGCTTAGTGGCGCGAGCTCCGTGTCGGCGGATATGGAGGCAGAGCTGCTCGGCCGGCCGGGGGTTGTCAGCAACAGACCGTCTCTGTTGGAGACAACCGATTCCTTGGCACCGCCTGTGGAGGGGAAAGAGGGTGATGAGTTTCCTTTGAGTCATGTCTTTGGGCACCCACCCGCCATGGCCAGTGGCTCTCTGACGCTACGTCTTGAGCCAGCAGCTGACGAGAGTCACCACGACGATTACGATCATGAACGAGATGATGACGGCAGTGGGAGCGACGACGGGATCCTACTTATGGCGTCACGAAAGAAGCCAGCCCCTGCTTCCACTGGCACGGTGTCGCGGCGGCTGCCCGCGGAGCCGAAACGGCGCGATACCAACATCAGCACGACGAGCGTCGAGACGGCACGTCCGCCGCCCACCACGAATGACGAACACGCAGCAGACGGCGCATGAGTGTTCGGAGGGAGGACGATCCACGACCACATGACGAGTTGAACGAAACGCATACATCTCTCCACTGCCCTGAGAATTCACTGCACAATGTATATAATATCTAGACCTCGGCGAGGGTCCATATGGGAGGTGATCTGCTTTTCCGTCGCTACTGGAGTCGCACGCATAGCATGGACGTTTGGACGTTGTGGGGGGTGTTTTATCTGGTAGATGTTGTCTACCATGGAGAGGCATTTTGTATCCGATGTTGTTTTCTTCTTTTTTGCACAAGCACGACCAGCACGGTGTGTAATGGAGCAGCGGGGGGAGAGGGGAGGGAGGGTTTCCAACTTCCCATAGCAACATGAAGACGATTTGACAGGCAATACATATGCATTGTCATTCCTTTTCCATTGATATCTCTACCTTGCTTTACCCCTTGATGAGAGAGGCGACGTCCTTCCACGCCCATACGACTCGGTCCTTGGCCACGATGTAGCCCTTGGCCCCACCAATCCCAATGATGAAAGCAATGAGAACAACGACGGCATTGAGGGCCATGTTCAAGAGCGCAGACGCAACAGGCTTGCCCTTTTCCATGTCGGCGATGATGCCATCGAGCGTCTCGGCCATGCTGTCCCTGGAGAAGACCTCGCGCACGCGGCTCAGGCCCTGCTCGCCCATGGTCTTGAGCAGGCCGTCGTTCTGGCCGTCGAGGGCGGTGGCCATGACATCCGTCCAGGCGGCCACGTCGGTCGTGGGGCGCAACCAGCCCGTCTTACCGTCTACCACCGACTCGCGCGGTCCACCGGTCGTGGCGGCCAGGACGGGGAGTTTGGCCTTCATGGCCTCGAGGGGGACGATGCCAAAGTGCTCGCTGGCGGGCGTGTAGAGGAGCAGCCTGGCGTGGCGCAGCAGGGACGTCTTGGTGTCGGAGGGCACGGAGGGGAGGAAGAGGACGGGGGCGTCGTCGACGGGGGGTGCCTGTGCGAGGGATTCTGTGGCCGTGACGGTGGCGTGGCCGAGTGAGAGGCTGTCGCAGAGGGAGCGCAGCTCGGACAGGTACTGTACATTCTCGTCGATTCGAGGGTCGTAGCCGCCGGCGAGGACGAGGCGGACGTTTTTGCGCTGGGCCAGCCCGGCAAAGGCCTTGATGGCGAGGGCAATGTCCTTTTTGCGCTCGAAGCGGTTGATGCTCAGCAGGAGCTTTTCGCCGTCGAGGGCATTGCGCACCGCCTTGTTGCTTGTGGAGGAGGAGGAGGAGGTCGGAGACAGGTCGACGCAGGGGTAGACGGTGCGGAGGGTCGTGCTGGCGGCGAGCGTGGGCCATGTCTGTGTGACAATGGACTTTGTAAACTCGGAGTTGACGGCGGTGCTGGCGGCGAACTGCATGGTCCACGCCTCGAGCTTGTCAAAGGGGACGCGGTACAGGCGCTTGAGGGCACTGGTGTCGCGGCCAGAGGCGAGGAGGAGGTCGGGGAAGTGGCAGTAGAAGAGGATCGGGGCGGCGGGGCAGAGGTAGGTGAGCAGGGGCAGGCCGGCGGAGAGCTGGTCGACGATGAGGGCGCGGGGCGCGAGGCGGACGAGCTCGCCGGTCAGGGCGATCTGGACGAGGAGAAGCATATGGCGGAGGATGGCGCAGAGGATGGTGAGGCGGGAGAAGACGGACATGGGGATGAGGCGGGAGGCGCGCACGCGGACGTCGAGGGTGCCTGGGTGCAGTTAGTACGAGCGAGACAGGGTTGGGCGTCGTGAGAGAGGAGTGGTCCGTACCATCGCGACACTCGTCGAAGCAGTGGCCTGGGTCGCAATGGTTGGTGAAGATGACGACCTTGTGGCCTCGCGCCTGCAGGCCGACGGCGGCGTCGACGACGAGACGCTCTGCGCCGCCAATGCCCAAATCCGGGTGGAAGAAGACGATGGTGCCCTGTTCCTGGTTCGAATCGGAGCCAGCCGCCTGGGCTGGAGCTGGGACTCGGGTGAGGGTGGCGGATGGATTCGACGCCCGCCCCCGGGGCTGCTTGCGGGCCATAATGGCTGGCGGTGGTGGGGGAAGGGCTGCAAAGGGGTGAAGAGGGTGAGGATGGTGGAGGGAGGTTGTTGTTGATGTTGGAGATTGGAGTTGGGGCTAAGCATGCAGTCCCTAGATTGGGAGGTCCTCAGCTCAGGCTTTACAAGTAGCTTATGCGGGGCGGAGGTGGGCTGGAGCTGATACGTAAGGTGAAACTCTCACCACTCTAGCTCTTAAAGAATAGTAAATCATTTGTTGAATTTTTGATATGAAAAGACTTTAGTATCCTCTCCATCATACATCCGTTCGTGGGCTGCATGCATGGCTTCACCACCTCAGCCGTGCAGCGACGAGAGTGTATAGTAGGGTATAGGGTAGTTTATTTTTGGCTACTCCTCACCTCGAGAAAAGCGCGTCTTGATTTATTATCGTCATCCTCACTTTCACTTCACCTGCATGCTGCTCTTCGCCTTCATCATGGCGACACGAACCATCCATCAGTCTTCCACATCGCACGTCGCACAGTCGTCGCCGCATCCGTACTGATCCTTCCCCACACTGATCGCAATGCAATTGTCCGGATCTTCCTCCACATCGCAGTCTGTGGGCTCACAGAAGCACGAGTCCTCGAACGTGGGACTGTACACGGGGTTAGAGTTGAGCTAGCAACAAACACACGAGAGCAATAAAGGGCCATCATAGCTCACCTCGCCTTGCAGGACCAATTGGGGTTTGGCGTATCCGTCGGAGGGTCAGAATCGCCGCCCTCAAGGTCAATCTTGCACCCAGAGCAGTCGTCTTGGCAGCCATCCTCACCCTTGTTGGCGACGACGCCCACGCACGATGATCCGTCGCTCTCGTCGCAGTCCTTGGGTTCGCAGAAGCATTGCTCCTCGCTCGTAGGGCTTGGCTTGTCAGTACCGGCGCAGCAGCAGTCATTGTGGTCATCAGGGGAGACATACCTGGGGTAGCAATCCCAATCATCCTGCCCACCGCTATCACTATCGCCGTCGTCGTCGTTTCCACCATCGTTGTCGTCGTTGTCGCCATCATCGCCGCCGTTGTCGCCGTCATCGCCGCCATTGTCGCCGCCATCATCGTCATCATTATCATTATCGTCCTCGCTGTCGAACACGGGCCCCAGAAACTCGAGCACACTCTCCTCCATGGCGCCCAGGTTGCCCTGGATGGCATCCACATCCGGCACCTCCTGTCGATCCTCATAGTTCTCAAACGTGGCCAGCGGCGCAGGCATATCCGTCGCCTCGGTGACGGTCTTTGTCGTGGCCGTCACGTCGCAGCCAATGACGCCGGCGCAGGTTGTCTCGCACGCCGTGGGTGGTTGCGTCTGGGTGCAGACGACGTTGCAGTTGGAGACGGTGCTCGGCTCCGTGCAGTCCTCTTGATCTGGGTCGTCTGGGTCGTTGGGGTCGCCGCCACCACCACCACCACCGCCTCCTCCTCCGCCTCCACCACCACCGCAGGGTCCAACGCAGTTGCCTCCACCGCCGGAGCAGAAGCCTATGCAAGGGATCTTGATTGGGGGCGGAAAGTCGATGCCGGGCGTATCGCAGAATGCGTCGCAGACGTCGCCGCATCCCGACTCGCAGGTTGGCTTGGGCCTGCCGGAGCGAGCTGGGTGGGACGATTCGGCGAGCGTCGGATCGGGTGTCTCCTCGGGCGCCGTGCGGCTGGCACGGGGCCAGGGACCATACTCGTAGGACCAGATGGCCGTCTCGGTGCCTGAGCTGATGGTGCTGTACACGGGGCGGGGCTCGATGCTGGTGTAGAACCAGATGACCGTCTCGTCGTCGTCGTCGTCGTTATCGCCCGTCTGCGTCGTCCACGGGATGTTGGAGAAGTGGATGATGCTGGTCGTGATAGCCGGCACGGTGATGACCACCGTCGTCGTGATGGTCGTGTAGACCGCGGTGCCGTCCTCTGTCGAGACGGGCCAGACCTCCTGCACACTCTCCGTCACGGGCGGCAGGGAGATGGTGGTAAAAGACTCGAGCACGAGGGGCGGCAGCACAAAGGTGCAGGGCGGGAAACACTGCATCGGCTGGTCCGGGTCCTCGTGGATCGACGGGTCGATGTAGACATAGTTATAGTCTCCGCCCTGGCAGTCGCCGTTCTGGCAGCCCGAGCCGCAAAAGTCGTCGCCCTGCCCACAGATGCCGTCCTCGGAGCAGCAGCTGCCTTTGGGGCAGGTGTTGTGGTTGTTGTCGGCGCCGCACTTGTCGCCGTCCTCGACAGGGCATCCGCTCTGGCATCCCGTGCCGCAGTGCGCGTCCGAGTCGCCGCAGTAGCCCGCCGGGGAGCAGCACGAGCCCTTGGCCCAGTCGCCGCAGAACGTGTCCGAGCCCTGGATGCCGCAGGTGCCGTCAATCGTCTCGCCGCCGGACTTGCAGCTCCCACTCTGGCAGCCATTCCCGCAGTGCGCGATGGTAGAACCGCACCATCCAGACGAGGAGCAGCAGTCACCGTTCGCCCAGTCGCCGCAGACCGTGCCGCCGTTCTGATACCCGCATGTGCCGTTTGTGGTCACGGGCGGTGCGTCGCCACTCCCCTCGGCGTCCGAGGCAAAGTCGATCGACCAGACCATGGTGCCGCCGAAGCACTGTCCCTCGGCCCAGGCGACCTTCATGGCAATGGTCTCCTCGTCGTCGTAGCCGACCCAGTTGTCGCCCCAGACGATCTGCTTCATCATGGCGTCCTCGAGCAGCTTGGGCGTGATGCCCTCGGATTCAATCTTGCCTTCGATCTCGCGGAGGGACAGCACGCCGCCAAAGTTGGTGCACGGGCCCGGGTCGCTCGATCCGGAAAAGGGGCACAGGAGGTCGGTGCAGCTGGCGTCGGCGAGCTTGTAGCCACGGCCGTAGTAGGCGGTGCCAAAGTTGATCTTGGCCGGATCGAGGCCCGCGAACCACAGTGGCTTGGTGTTGTTGGCGATCTCGCGAATGTCCGTCTGGCCGCGCACGAGGGCGCCCAGCGTGTCGACGTCCGAGTCCCAGGGCCCGTGCAGGTCGTACGACATGAAGCCGTAAAAGTCGAGGCTGGACTCCATGGCGGCCGCGTCGAAGCCGCGGAGGTACCAGTAGTCGGGGGCCAGCGCCATGGACAGGCCATACTTGCTCCCAAAGGCGGCACGCATCTCCTTGACGAGGTGGACGAGGTTCTCCGTGTCGGCTCTCTCACCGCCGCGTTTGGGGGCGGCAGGGTACTCCCAGTCAATGTCGGCACCCTGGAAGCCATACTTGTCCATCCAGCTGATCAAGGACGCGATGAAAGCAGCGCGGTTGCTGGACGTGGATGCCATGTCACTCCATGCCGTGCGCGTGGGCCCGGGGTCCGAAAAGTCGTACCCGCCAATGGCCACCCAGGTTTCGAGGCCGCGCGACTGGAGGCCGGTGAACTCGTCGACAATATCTACATCACTTGCGTCCTCAAACTGGAGCTCAAAGGTTTGCGGGTCGAACCGGGCAAAGGACCAGAAGAGATGGGTGAAGCCCTCTGTCTTAAGCTGGCTGGGGCGGACCTTGTTGCACAGCCTGTTCCTCACGTTGGACACCTGGTAGTAGCCAACCTTGCGGCCGGCTGTTGTGCCGCTGCCGACGCCGCACGAAGGGTTGGGGATGATCTCGCAGCCGCCGTAGTCTTCCTGGCAGGGCAGCTGGCCGTTGGGGTCAGGATTGCCACAGTGTCCCTCGGTGGTCTGCAACAGTTAGCCAGGGGCGCTCATACAGACAAGTTGGACGGTTGACTCACACCACACCAGCCTGTCGCCGAGCAGCAGAGGTTCATGCCACACGACCAGTCGGCATTCTCGCTATAGATGCCACACATGGCGGTGGCGCCGCAGTTTGACGTGCAGTTCCCCGAGCCACAGAATCGGGGACCATAGCCGCAGATGCCTTCAATGCCGCAACAGCTCTCATCCGGACACGGATCTCCTGGACCACAGAGGAGGGCTTGCCTCTTGAAGAGCGAGGCACCAAATGCGTCCTCGTCGGCACTTTTGGCCGCCGTCGCATTGGAATCCAGCACGGGCATGGCCGGTGCGGCCAGTGGGTTCTGGTGTGTTGGAGGAGCAACGTGTCGATTCACGCCGACCGTGTCGTTGGCGACAATGGCTTCGAAGCACTGTCAGCAATGTCCAGCGTTTGTCGGTCGACATGACTTACTTGTGGTAACGGCATGGGCTGCCCCGAGCAGGGCAGCGCCATGACACGCTCGTGAGAACCTCATGGCTAGACTGATGCACTTGCAGAAAGCTCCAAGCCCGTCCTGTCCTGTCCGGGCAGCTCAGTGCCCAAGGTGAGCGGTCCGTATATAAGGGCCGTGAGGATTCTCACGGCAGTCTTCATCGAGCTCCGCCCCGGATCCCTGCGTCCCTGCCAAGGATCCTTCATGCGGCCCGGCGGTCACGGACCGTCGCAAACGTCCGCCTCGCGTGGAGCACGTGTGGGACCACTGTCAGGGCAGAATAGGAGATGCGAGCCATTGAGAGTACGAGGGAGATGGTGCCCCGATATTGGCGCCGAAACATAATATGATGTATTATGTTGTTTTTCAGGGAACGGTTGTATTTATAAATTGCCACAGGGGCCGAGACCATTAGGCTTCCACAATGGGCATTCCGTCTCACACCGCCAAGGACGCATCACGGCATGTCTTGCGACTTGATGCTGGACCATGGCAGAGATTTTCCTGGGATTTCATCCTACATAGGGAAAGGGATACGGGAGAACCCCGAGCGCGTCCGAGAAGAAGGCAACGAGGCCGCAGGAGGGAGCTTGTAAATGCGAGGTTGTCCTCCCTCTCAGCTCTGATCCACGACTCGACTCGACGCACGCCTGGACTCCATACCTGCTCCTCACAACACGGCTTCAGCCAGCTCGACCTTGCTCATCATGGTCTCTCTACTCCGCGTGGCGCTCGTCTGGGCCACCGTACTGTCCGTGTCGCTGGCATGGACGATTCCGCACGCCAGTGTCATCCGCAGCCTCTCCAAGCGTGCCATCAGCCTCTGGCACAACGTGTCGCCCCCGAGCCCGGCGGCCTTTTCGCAGGATGAGGTCGACGAGCTGAACGACTGGCTGTCCGACTCGATCACCATGGCCAGGACGGCGCGTCGCATGCTGGATCGGTACAGCAGCGACCGCGTGGTGGCGGCGACGCTGGGAACCTTTCTGGGCGTGGAGCCGATAGATGATAACGGCCAGTTCACCCCCAAGGACCCAGCCCAGCTGCAAAACTTTAAAGGTATGGCGGGAGAGACATGAAGTCCCCAAGACGAAGGCGTGCTGACAGGTCCAGACTGGCTGGGCGATGTGGTGGCCTATGCCGAGGGTGGCTTCGCATCCTTTGGCTACAGCGAGGCCTGGCTGATGAAGGGCGACAGCTTCCAGCAGCGCAAGACGCTCGACGACTGGGTCCAGCAGGACGACGGCAGCGTGGCCAAGTTTGAGCAGAACGGGGTGGAGCAGCCCATCTCTCTGCGTCAGGTGGCTGACTTTGCCGGCGAGATTGCCAAGGGACGCTGGATCTGGTGGATTCCCGGCATGGGCTCGTACCTCTCGCTCGGCGCAGGCGACTTTACGCCCGGCGTCCCCGGTGTCTCGCCCGGCTCGCAGTGCACGGGCGCGGGTGCCTTTACGGGGACGACCAGGGGGCTGCAGGGCGTGCGCAAGTCTCTCATCACCATCTGCAAGCCGGGCGCGCAAGGCGACGGGACGCCCGTCGACCACTTCAGCGCCATCCCCTACAAGATGTTTGCCGACGTGCCCGTCACAAAGGACGCGGTTGTCGAGAAGCACTTTTCCCGCAGCACGATCCTGCTGCACGAGATGATGCACGCTGTCCGGCAGGGCAAGTCGCCCGACCTCGTGAGTGAGTCTGCCCCGTCATGAAGAAGAGAGAGAGGGCTCGTACTGACTGTGACCAAGACGGCTCAGACCAGTGCTTTGCAAAGAGGAAGACGGGGGCCTCTGCGGTGAGCCCAGCCTGTGTGACGGCCATGGTCGTGGCCATGAACTTTCTGGACCGGGGCTTGACGGCGGGCCAGGACCCGTGGTCGTTCTGGACGGGCCGTGCGAGGGCGGCGAGCGAGGCGTACGAGTGGTTCGTCAACCAGAAGAAGGACCAGCAGTCTTGAGATGTCTGGCAAGCATAGACGAGTTGTGCATGGTCACTGGGACACGCTGGGAGTGGTTAGGAGTGAGACATGGTTGTTATCGACGATTAACAGCCGTATTTATATATCTATGAGTACAACTCGATGGAATACGATGCCTCCAATTCGTGGAAATCATAGTGTGAACCCTGATTGTCGTGGCCAAAGCATCTCAACGCCGTGCCGAGGCATCGCGCATCTTCCCCACAGGCGAGTCGGAGAGACACATGTAATCCATCGCACCTCGCATCAAATACATTGCCTGCCTCATCTATTCTATACAACAAACCTCTTCACTCACCCTCACCCCCAGCATGTCCCTCTTCACCATCCCCATCCCCCCGCTGGGCACCGCATATCCCGGCGGCGCCATCACATGCACGACGCCCGCGCCCAAGGTCTACCTGCTCACCTTTTCCTCGCCGCCCGACAACCGCCTGACGACGCCCGTCCTCAAAGCCCTCCTGTCCGCGCTCGACGTCCTCGAGTTTGGCGGCTACGCGCCCGGCGTCGTCGTCACCACGAGCGGCATCCAAAAGTTCTACTCCAACGGCCTGGATCTCGCCCACGCCGTCGAGACCGAGGGCTACTGGGCGCTGCTCTACTCGGTCTGGGCGCGCTTTCTGACGTTCCCCATGACCACCGTCGCCTGGATGAACGGCCATGCCTTTGCGGGTGGCCTCATGCTGGCCACGAGCCACGACTATCGCCTCGCGCCCTCGCCACGCGGCTTTCTCTGCCTCAACGAGCTGCTCTTTGGCGCGCCCCTCAGGCCCGCCATGGCCGCCATCTTTCGCCACAAGCTCCCGTCGGACACGTACAGGACCCTCGTGCTCGAGGCAAAGCGCTTCAATGCCGACGAGGCGCTGGCCGCTGGCATCGTCGACGGCGTCGCGACGGGGCTGGACGACGTGCTGGGCTTTATTGCGCAGAAGGAGTTGACGGAGAAACCCAAGTCAGGTGTCTACGGTACCCTCAAGGGTGAGATGTACAAGGATCTCCTGCAGATGCTCTCGGGGCCAGGCTTGGAGGCAGAGGAGGCGCGGTTCGATGCCGATCAGGCCCGCAACGCGGAGAGAAAGGAGTTTGGCAGGGTCTGGTATGAGCAGTGGAAGAAGGAGGACAAGGCCAAGTTGTGATGCTGTCTGTCTGTCTGTCTGTCTGTTTGTCTGTATTGATAACTTGAATTCACATGGGGTATCATGGTATCCTAACCCACTACTCCTACACTGAGAAATGTATCACCAGCATGGTCAGCCGTCCATGGGCCGTAGCGCTTGGACACTGAGCTCGCTTCGCTCTGCCAGGCTCTCCCTCTCGGCGTCGAGGACAGCCCTCCTCTTGGCCTCAATGTCCTCCCGCTTGACCACCCGTCGGAGGCCCTCGCTCGCCTGCAGGAGGCCGTCAATACTAATAGCGTGCTCCGTCATGTGGTGCCCAATATACGTGTACGCCGCCGCCGCCGTCTGGCACTGGACGAGGTTGCCCTCGTTGAGCTTGAGCAGCGCCAGCGCCACCTGGAAGAGGAACGTGCTGCCGTCCTGCGTGCACAGCACCACGTCCCACACCCGGAACAGCGCCTCGGCGCAGAGGCAGTCGGTAAAGACGGACAGGAACCACTGAAAGGTCATCGTCTCGAGTTCCACCCCGAGCGACTCGAGGTGCGCCGACAGACGCGGCAGCACCACGCCCACGTACTGCCGCAGCACCTGCTGGTCCGCCCGCGACGACGCGAGCGACTGGTCGTAGTACCCCGGCGGCAGGATGTTCTCTACAATCGTCGCCAGCACCCAGAACGCGTCCTCCGCCGACGGCATCACCAGCAGCAGGTTCGCCGTGATCAGGTTCATCCCCTGGCAGTAACCCACCTGCTTGTTGCGTCGCGCGTACGCCACCAGCACCTCCTTGAGCTTCGGCACCCCAGGCCCGACCCGGAAGAAGATGTTGTCCGTCAGCGTCCGGTAAATGTCCATGCCAATCTGGCTCACCACCGTCGGGTCGTCCCCCGACCGGTCCTGCGCCACCAGATCCTCATAGTACCCCGGGATCCGCAGCGCCGTCGCCCCAGAGCACTCGGACCAGATCTTGGGCCGGTACGCCACTGGTATCCCCCCCAGCACGAGGCCCTTGAACTCGTTCCACTTGTTGCGTCCAATCTTGCCCTTGTTGCCCAGGTCCGAGATGCCAATCATCTCCCCGTCCGCCACGCGCGTCTCCGGGAGGATCACCGCAGGGCGCTCGTACCGCGCCTCGGCGGCCGCGTGGGCGGCGGCCACGGCTGCCTCGCCCTCTCGCTTGCGCTCCGCCCGCACCTTGCGCAGAAAGTCGTTCCACAGCGGCGTCTTCTTCTGCTGCGTCGCGTCGTGCAGGTCGTTGAGCTGCTGCAGCAGGTGCCGCACCGGTTCGCGGTCCTCTTTGAGCTCGTCCTGACCCGCGTCGCTCGCGTCGGGCGGCGGCGGCAGCGTCACCTGGCTACTGACCGCCACCGTCGTGTTGGCCGACGGCAGCAGGCCATAGTCCGTCGGCGTGATAGACGGTGACCTGGCCGTGTCCGCCTGCGACTCGCTGGGCGTCTCGGGGGCTTCCAGCACTTCCAGGTTCGGCGCGCCCACGCTGGGGGTATGACTGAGCAGCTCCGTGGGGAACGTGGCGATCTTGAGGTAATCCTGCCACCGTTTCGAGCGAGCCTCGGCGGGCTTGTCCTTGTCCTCTGCACTCACGGGGCTGGCCGGTCGCCCCTCGCTCGATACGCTTCCCTTGGGGCTGGGCAGACCTTCGTCCAGCATGTTGGGCGAGATGCCATTTCGTCCGCTGAGCAGCATCTCCGTGCGACTGTCTGCGCGCGTGTGTCGCGCTGCCTCTCGCTGTCGCTTCTTCCGCCGTTGATCGTAGATGAAGCCAAATCGGTCGGTTGGTACGTCTTTGCTGCCATACAGGTTGTACAGCGTCGCCAGCGCCGGTGGCTGGGATTCTGGTGGGAGGATAGCGTCCATCTCGACAGGCCCGTAGCTCTCCTGTCGCCCAGAAGAGGGCGGGCTGTTAACCATGGTCTCCCACATCTCCTGAGCCGGGGTCTTGGTCGTCGCTTGCGGCTGCGCTGACGGGACAGGCGTCGAGCGTCGCATCGCCATTAGCGCCTTAGGCCCTCCGGCAACAGAAGGGGATCGATGGGAGGGCGATGGACGCGCCGTGGCCGCCACCGGTCGCGTCGATGCCTCTCTGGTCCCTGCGCTGACCGCTCTCCCCCTCGTCTCTGCTTCACGACCACTGATGGCGCCGCCAGCAACGAGCCGCAGGGCAAGGCTGGCCAGTGACCCCGACGCCTTCCGGTCCGGTAGATTGGCTGAATGTATACTGGACGGTCGTGACGTCGAGCTCGAGGTGGCCTTGGCCGTAGGTGGCGTGAACAAGTCGTCGGCAAGGCCGGGCCTTCGATCCAGACTCGAGGCCGACCGTACACCACCCACCGTCTGTGACCCTTCGCTCGGCAAGATGCTGTTTCCTCGACTCTTCTTGGCTGTATTCGTGCCCCACAGGAAATCTTTCCATCCCTTGGCCGTCCCCCGGCTATCGTTCCTATCGTTCGATGCTCGTATTGTAGAATCGCCAGCCAACCGCGTTTCTCGATGCCCATCCGACGTCATGGTATCGTGCATGGCATCGCTCATCATGCTGCTGAGGCCGCTATCCACCCTGCTCCTTGATTTATCGTCATTCTTGGCATGGTCCTCCATCACGCGCAGCCTCGTCTCCAACTCGAGGTTGGACAGCCCGCATTCCCGGATGATGCGTCGCAGTGCCTTTTCGCGATCGTCGGCACGTCGCCGCAGCGCGGTGATCTGCGCGTCGCGCTGGGCTAGGTCCTCGGCGATCTGACGCACAAGACTAACCGCCCCTTGCCGCGCAATGAGCCGCTCAATGTGTCCATCGTCGGCCTGGTGCAGTGCACCCGGTACCCTTGTCACCGGCTCCTCTTCAAAGAGATCTCTTCGTCTTGAATTGCTCGACAGACCTCCCGTCAAGCTGTCCACGATACTTTCGCTTCTCGCGCCTCGATTCTCCTGCGTCGCCGTCTTGAGCCTCTCTTCTTCCTGTTCCCGCGCCTCCTCCTGATCGTTTCCTGCATCGAAGCTGTCTGTACTGTGATCCTTGACCGTATTGTAAACCGACAGCGCGGGCGTCGACCCTTGAAATCGGCTGGCACCCGGCGACTCCGGCGAGAAGCTCGGGAAGCTCGTCAGAGACTTGTCGCTGGGCGCAATGCTGCTCGCCGAGGACGACGGCTGCCGTGACGTGAGGCGCGCGCGGCTGATCTGGCGCCCTTGACGGACGGTCGCGGACCGGTGGGAGCGGAGGGACGTCGTGCTATGGGTCGAGGTTGATCGCTCGAGCTGCCCGAGGGGGTCCATGGCAGCTGTTCCGACCTCTCGTGGCACAGCGTTGCGGCGGACGCAGCGATAGCGTGATGGTCGGATAATTAATTCAGTAAGCAGCACGTATACTTAGCTGGCGAGCTGCTGGTCTGGACTGGACCTTGAAGGGCGGAGCTGGGTTGGTGGCTGAAGCTTCTGCCTGTCGATGACGGAGACGCTGTGGCGTATATGTGGCGCGACCCTGCCCACCGCACCTTTTGCTCCGGAGGTATACTTGCGGTACGTATGAGGATCGCAGCACTTAACAAAGTACGGAGAGTAGCTGAGGTTTATTCCAAACGGAGGAAATCATGTCGTTGGGTACATGTACGAAAAGTCCAAAATCATCAGGGGAGCGCTAACGTAGCGCATGAACAAGCTAATTACAACGGCCAATGATCATACGCGGTGAGGGAGGGAGGCAGCTACATGGTGTCCATTCCAACGTTCGAGGCTGGATGAAGGCTTGGAATGCATCACATGAGCGAGCCCCTTTTTGGACTCCCGTCGTTCATGGTTGATTGAAAATTCAAAATTGGCAGAAACGCCATGCTGCAGAGCTCATGTATGTACAAATCACTTCTAATGACCACGCTTGTTGACGTCCATAGTACCTTCAACGCCACCTTGTTCCCCGATTGCCCAATCCATTCATCTTCTCATGTCGTACATTAATTCTCCTCGCCCCCAAGTAGGGGCACAATGTCAGCCTCCATCAGCTTGCGCAGAATATCGTCCTGCGCCAATGCCTTCTTGGTGGACATCTCCAGGCCGTCCAACATTCTGAGCTTCTTGCACCTAGCAGCAAACGCAATGTGGTGCACCCTCCGCCTCATCTTCATCTCCATAATCAGGCGACCCGCAAAGGCAGCATCCTTCTGTGCGTCTGCCTCGGGCAAGACAAACGGGTCGTGCCGGCCTTCCGAGGAGAGCGAGCACAGGGGCACATAGAATCCCTGGGTGAACGGGTTGTCTCGGGTGTCCACCTGCGTCAGGTGCGGGAACATGGAGACCAGCTCTTCCATGACTCTTGCATCCTTGATCTGATTCCCGGCCACCAGTAGCTTCTTGAGCCTCGGGATGAAGGCGAGGCACTGAATGTCGGGGATCGAGTTGAAGTTCAGATTCACGCTCCTCAGGTTCGGCATCAGCTGGCCCAGGTTGTCCGGCAGGAACTGCAGCCCGCAGCTAGCCAGCTCCAAGAGCTGAAGGTTGAGCATGTCGACCCGCGGCGCAAAGGCACCTATAAAGTTGCCAGACAGGTAGAGCTTCCGAACTTCGTTGGCAGCCGTCAGGAAGCTCATGTCAATTGGCTGCTCTCCTTGCTGTTCCCGGAGCGAGAGGCTGTCCAGTCTCCGCGTGACGTCGCAGCCCCGAATGTCACCGAACCGGTTGCTATCGGCATGGAAAAGCGTGAGATTCGGCACGTTCGTCAAGTCAATGGAAGCGACCTGGTTGTGGCTGATGTCAAGGTGCTTCAAGGCCGGGACGACGCTCTTGAACTCCAACTGACACAGGCGGTTCCTGGTCAGCTTGATGTGAGCTAGCGCAGGGGCGCAGTGCAAGTTGCGCGCCCAAGTGATGCTGTTCCCTTCAAGATCGACCTCGGTGACCCGTGCGAGCTGGCACCGCGCAAAATCGGCTTCTTCAATCTCATTGTCCCGGGCTCGAAGAGACAGCAAGCCTGCGTGCTTATCGAGGTCGTTGATGCTCTTGAGGTGATTCTTGTCGGCTTTGATGCTGCGCAGGTGATGCAGATTGCGGAGTCCAGACAGGCTTCGGAGATCATTTTGGGAGCAGTCAACATACTGCAGGTTGGGAAGATGATCCCAGCTCGTCAGTTCCGTCAGCCGATTGCCGCAAACCTTGAGCTCCCTCACCGTGCCCGGGATCCCGTCAAGGTTTGAGAGTGCATTCTGGGAAACGTCTAGCTTTACGAGCCTGGGGCAGAATTCGTCCAGCTGGTGTAGGCTTGCGAGATCCATGCCGCTCAAGTCTAGCTCAGTCAGCTCCTCCCAGTACGACTCTTGCGGCTCGGCTTGTGCAAGCTTCTCAACAAGTGTCCTGAGGCTGATTGACATGGTCGGCTGTGCATCATTGCCCGTCTTGAAGTGGCGGTCGCCCATCACATAGCTGACCTCGAATCCGAACGACTGGTCATTCTTATGATGGAAGGTAAAATCGGATAGAGGACTCAGCGAGAGTTTGCCAACGTTGCTTCCAATGATCGCCTCGTCCTCTCGCCTGAGGGACAATGCGTTGTGGCGCACCCTGTCGAGGCCACTCCCATGAATAGGCGTTTGGTTCAGGACAAGACTGACATTGGCATGGCCGCCGTCAGGCGTAGGGTAATGATGGCTGACGAGACTCTGCTCCGCAACGAGGCTAAGCTGCTGATTTGGAAGTCGGACTTCCGATTGGTGATGGGGAAGTTCCACGGTGCTATCTTCGTCATGCTCATCGATTCGCGACACTGGCCGGAAGGTGACCTTGGGCCGTGCTGGCGTAGAGCTGTCGGGTGCTCGAAGCGGCTCCATGTCTGCAAGGGTGCTTTCCTTGCGTGGCGAGGCCAGATTGAGATGGTCCAACTCGCGCACTGCGTCCACTGACAGGTCGGGGATACTGGCGAACGGATCGTCCTCGCTATCGCTCTGCGGTACCGGAGTGCATGTCTCTTGAACAAAGCCCTTCTCCTTGACCCACACATTGTTTCCCTTGTCCAGACGCATGCTCCCAACTCTGTCACCTATGAGGTGTGAGACGCTTTCAGGCACAATGGTTTTCCTGGTGTCAGAACCGCGCGAGGAGCCTGTTCGATAAGAGCCGTTGCTGTGGAGGTCGGAGCCAAACGAGTTGTACGACTGCGACGAGTAGCGAGTATTGGGGTTGGTCGAGATACGCACATTCGGTATGTCGCTAATGATCGCATCCGCTAACGACGGCACCATTGGTAGACCATATGCTCCGTAGCTGTCCTGCTCATGGCCAGATCCCTGGCTCCGTGGACTCAGCAGCTCGCGTGAAGCAGGGGACGATGGCTCGTTCGACACGAGCTCATCCATGTCACTGGTCGCCTCCTTGTAGCGTCTCAACCGGGCGGCGATTTCAGGTGTTTGTTCAGCAAAGACATTGCGCCTCGATGGCAGTGGTTCACCTCGACTGGGCGGGCGGGAGAATGGCTCTTGTTCCGACTCTGAGCCCGACTCCGAAGCCACGCTCTCGTTGCCATGCACTTGGTTCCTAATGGCAGCCATGATCCTTGTGGCTTCGTCGAGGAAGTCCTGCGTTCTCTCCTGATGCGTCCGTCTCCTCTTGGGAGTGGACACCTTTTCAGGAGATGTGCGCGGTCGTTTACCCCCAAACTCCACATTGGATTGGCTTGACAGCGTCTCGGCACGCTCTCGCCGACGTCGAACGAAGATCCCTGATCCTTCGCTTGATGATGAACCTGGGCGCGTGAGATGCACTTGTTTCCGCATATGCCCGTGTGATAAACCATGGCCGGTCGGCTTGTGGGCTGAAGACTGCTGGTCTAGCATAGGGGACCGGAGCGAGGTCGTGAACTTGTAGCCATCCAGCTTGCCCGACCCAAAGTCCTCGGGACTCGAGCTATCGCGCATCTCTGGGTGAGCCTGCCGTGCCGGTGTCCGGATGTGAGCCGACTGTTTCACTGGTTCGATCCCCTCGTCAACATCGGACGGTTCGTGCGCGGAAGATGTGTACGGTGTTCCCTCCTCAAATTGGCTAATACGCCGGAGTAAGGTCTGGTTGGTATAGGTGTCGTAAGGCCCAAAGAGCTTCAAGGGGCTCCCGGGCGCTCTGTAGTGAATCGGACTAAGACCATGTGATATATCGACTGGTTGGTGCTGTTCATGGTCACCAGTGTCGGGCAGCTCTTCGTGCTCGGGGGGCATCGTGTGTTCTCCTTGGCCCAGTTGACCCCCCTCATTATAAGATACAGAATCACGGGGCTGAAGTGAACCAGAATCTTCGGTTTGCGGCTGGTCCCCGTAGGACACCCCACTGTCGAATGTGAAGCTGTCACCGTTGTTTTCCATCTCTGGATGTTGTCGACTTTTGCAGGACATGGTAAACTTGCTCAGCGGCGTCGAGTTCATGATAATGTTGGAGTCGTTGGGGTCAAAGTGGGAGGATTGGTTTTCGAACTGTAGAGACTGGTTGGGGGCTGAAGTTGTGCCTTGATCAGTGTTGGCAGAGGATCCGGCGCCCAGCTCAGAGACATCTTCAGCAATGGTCACCCCGCGTTTTGTGCGTGCGTCGTCGTCGTGGTGCTTGAGAATGCCTGCCGAAAAACCCCTGGCAGATCTCCGATTTTCCTTGAACAATGCGCTGTCCTGGTTGAGGCGGAGTCTTTCCAGCCTTTGTGTGAGGTCATGATGCCCCAGTGTCTGCAAGGAACTGGCCAAGCGCCGAGGTGGGTGGCTGGGCCTAGATGTGAATCTAGGTTTGGAACCAGGTAGGACACGAGGGGTGAATTGCAATTGACCTGTCGCGTCCTTCTCCATGCCCAGTTTTATCTCGCTGAAGCTCTCATTGCTGTCGTTGTAGCCACTCTTATTGGCACGCACGTTCCTACCAGCAGACGATGCAGTGAAGCAGCTCGCGTCCCTGTAAATCCTGACCTCGGGCCCCATGGCCTTTGTACGTCCTGCGGCGAGGCTCAAGGACGGCGAGTGCGTATGCCCGTGGTGGGAACTGCCGGGGCGCGAAGCATTCTGTCGCTTCGGCCGTCGAGGACTGGGACTTGGTGAAGCGAGGCGGTCAAAACCGGGACTTTCGCATTCCTCCTGCTCCATCTTCGAAACTTCCTCTGCGAGATCATAGCTGGCTCGACGATCTTCGAAAGTGGCGGGACTTGTCTCTGGTTCCACAGCGGCTGGGCTCACTGCAATGTCCTCGTCGTTGTCGTCCGCAGAGTCAGCAGAGTCAGCAGGCGGGGGGTTGAACATGTCCTGCAAGCCGTTGGCTGCCGATGAGAACAGATCACGCTGCTCGCCATATTGCAAGCCGCCCAGGACCAAGCGACGCTTCCACTCCGGTGTTTGGCTTGACGCTGCACCAACACGCTCCTCCCCAAGGCCTGGATGGCGGACCACTGATCCATCGGAGGTCGAAGAGTCGCGGCGACTGCCTCTTCTCACGCTGCCGCCAAAACTCCTCTGACTCCCTCGAGAAGAGAATGTAGGTGACTTGTTGTTCGTCATGAGTATACTGCTGCGCCTGTTCGAGTCATTGGCGCTCTCTTCTCTGAGCACGTGGTCGTCAGAGTCCAAGTCAGCCCCAGCCGTGTCCTTGGCCTTGTTCGCATCGAAGAATCGGACGGAACCCGCTGCCTTGTCATGTTGAGAGTTCCTTAAACTGTGTCGCGATTCGAGCTTTGTGCGCCCGGAGACGCCTAGTGGCGCATCTCGGCCATCTCTGGTTGGGCTATCGAGGTTTTCGTGATTGGAGGGCAATTCTCCATTGGAAAGAGGCGATGAAGGCCAATCCTCGTCAAGGGATTCGAGCCAGGCAGCATGCGAGGCGCTGGGAAGTGTTGCTATCATATCGACTGCGTTGTTTCGGTTTGACGCCTTGGTGAATGGGGCGCTTTGGCTCGTCGGCGTGCTCGTGCGACGCGGTATTCTGGTAGAGGATTTGACGCGACTGCCCTCTCAGCTAGGGTTGTATGTGATAAGGTCGAATCAGAGTCCCATCAGAAAGGGAACGACGGTCGAATCGGGTCGCTCGCGGCGCGATGTTGGCTCGTGGACTGTCGGCTCATATGGTGATCGCAGTGCAATCGCTATACATTGTGTTGCTCCTGATGCTGCGTAACGAGATAATCACGGACAATGTGAAGTCGATCCTTCAGGACCAAAAGATACTTGCGGCTGGGAGTTAATTCAGGTGAAGGAAAGTCTTCAATGTGCAAGCAGATCTTGTTGACAATGACTGTGGTGACGCGATGGGATGGCTTGCCAAATGCGCCTGTATTGACGTGGATTATCAGTGCGCTGCGGCTATCCTGGCGGGGCTTCCCTAGTACTGCACCATAACAAATGCAAAACAGTTCGGCGCGTCGTCCTGCCAACCGCGATAGTGGGGTGTCGCAATCGCAAGGTACGTACTATCGAGACTCCCAGGCTACCCTGCACACGAACCAGTTTGAGCTGTGTGATCACTCTGAAGCTTACTATTGCGTGCCTGAAGGCCAGATACATTTATCCAAGAAACAGTATGCACTCGCGGTGGTACTTGAGAAGCTTTGTAGGTTGGCATGAATAGCTGTGGATCTTAGTGGTAATAAAAAATGGAAGTTGCCGTGATTGTTAGCACGTACTTCCACAAACTCTCGTTCAGCTTGAATGTCAGGCCACAAAGCTCCATATTCTGTTCGGCCGAGAGTCCCTATAAGACTCTATAGCATATGGATTTTAGCTCGTCGAAGAATGGCGTACTGTATGTTCGAGTGTCATGATTATTAGGTCAAATCTTAGTATCACGTTGTGACAAGCTACAAAGATCCATGCACCTACGTAGTAATTCCTAATATATGAAAAGACGGTAAAAGCAATCCCCAACAATCAAGGCTTGTCTAGATCATGTCGCTGTCGCTCTCCGCATAGTAATGTCTGCCGTTGTTTCGTTGAATCGAAAGCAACAATGTAGCCATGAGCCATGATACTGGACGGCTACTGGACAGGCTCAGCGTCTCCACACCCCGGCCACTGGACCACTAAGACCCCGCAAACCGGCCTTGTGGACGTTGATGTGGCTGTTGTGCAACAATGACAGCACCACCGGTAGGTCCTTACGTACTGGACAGCAAATACCGCCAGCCCCCAGGGCACTGGCAGTGGACATGTGGCACTCCCAGTGATCGGGACTAGTTGCTGCTCCACCTGCAAGGGCCGAGTCTAGTTGCTGTTAAGCCATTTGGTGCTCGCGACCGCACGTGCCTTAGCACACGCACAGACCGCCTCCCTCACCGACTGCTGCATGAGCCACTGATCAAAGTTGATCGTTGAGCTTGCATCTGCTAGCTGGGGGGATCCCACCTTCCCAACTTTCCTTCATCTTCCTCCACTCACCTTCAAAATACTGCCCACCTGCATCTCCCCACGAATCAATCCAAGCTGGTCTCCCACGCACACTTCAGTCCAGACTGTCTACCAGATGTGCTGCTCACCTCATGTCCAGCTCGAATCACGTTCCTGAAAATGACGCACACGCTGTATCGTTGACCCGCGCACGTTCCGCTGATAGTGCCACTGCGTCCGAGGGTACGGATAGTGATGCTCCATTGGCGGACCAGTATGCCGCACCATGCCCACGTCTCGGTGCCCCTGAGGATCTCCCACCCCAAGACTCCGATTCTGGATCAGAGCCTGTGTCCTTGCCTGCAAAGGGCGATAAGACTGTCCGTCCTGTCGCTGCCTCTCGGCCCTCTGGTCCGTCGCTACTAACTCAGGCCCTGGCCACCGCCCGCGGGATACCCAAACCACAACCACAACCCTCGCACCCTGTAGAGAACGGGGGAGGCGGAAGCGCAGACGTTTCGAAGGATAGTGCCGACATAGCGAGATCTCACCCCACCAACGGCTCGACCGATAAGCTCAGCGACGCGGGCGCATCGCAACATGGCGATAAGGACAATCTTAAACCCCGCCCTTCCCAAATAACGCCTGCTTTGACCATGGCGACACAGACCGCAGCGCCTGCGACGGTGACCATTCCTGGTCGTGATGCTGCGAGCGTACCCTCAACCATGGGTCTGCCGGCAATGTTGTCGGGTTCCGAGTTCGCTGACATGCTGTCGGAGACGCGCAGAGCCGTTGACCAGGGCCGTCGCAGATGCTCGACATCTCTCGACGTCGATCGCAAAGGTTCTGACCTGGACCGAACGTCCATTTTCCCACACCCGACAAGCGCGGACATGTCTACGACCCCGACCAGGACCAGCTACTTGACAAGCGATCATGTGGCACAGCGGCCGCCAGTGTCCGAACACCGACATACGGTTGGCCCGGAGAAGACAGAGAAGATATGGTCCATCGGTACCGGCGAGGACTCAGAAGAGGGCGGATTGGTCGAGAAATCGGTCGCTGAGGCGATGGCGGGCGTGGAGCACAACGCGCGCAGCAGAAAGGCTAGCTACAGTCTTCGATTTTTCAAGGAAGGTTTGCCGCCAGGTGATAAGATTCGACGCCGCGATACCAAGAGCAGCACCAGAGAGAAGCTAGCTTCCACCTCGGAGGAGAGCCCGCAGAAACAGCAACCACCTCGATCGCCTTACGAACATCACCGTCCACCACAAACGCCACACAATCTCGACGAGCCGCCCCTGTCCGCGTCGGCCTCGATGCCGCAGACGGCAGCCTCTTCCAGCCTGACAGACTATTTCAGTCTTGGATCTCAACAGCCGCCAACTGTGTGCGAAGACTACGAGACTGCAGCGACTACAGACCCGCTACAAGCAAAGAGACACCCGACTGAAGAGGGAACATTAGCAAAGGCTCCTTCATCGTTGGCCGGGGAAAGGATCCCGGAACATACTGCTGATTCGGAAACCTGTCATCAGGAAGAATCAGATCGGGATCCAGATGCAGACGAATCTGGCGAAGAGAAGATTTCGTCTGCTGTTTTCGTACCGCACCATGACAAGCCACGTCCTAGCGATGTTGACAGCTCGAAAGGGGTCTATCCCAAGTCAAGGTCGTTGTCTCAAGACGAGACTCACCCCTGGTTGGTGAAAGCCGATGAACCGGAACCAGAGCTTGTTGATAAGGATGAGGTGTCGAGCCACATCTCCAAATATCGGTCCCGTGAGAGTCTTGTGTCGAACCGCGACGACATCTCATCGATTCTGTCCGAGGATGTAGCTGTTGAAGGCGATCACGAAATGTCCAATCAGCTGGCGCAGGCTTTCGCACGGACCGGGCTCGTTCCGCATGATGATACCAACAATCGTCCCTCCCATGGACCCCAGCCACTCGAAGCCATTGAACTGATTCCTTACAAACACCAAGTTGGAGGGCACACTACACTGTGGCGCTTTTCGCGTAGAGCTGTATGCAAGCAATTGAACAATCGCGAGAATGAGTTCTACGAAATCATCGAGCGTTACCATCGTGACCTACTACCCTTCCTGCCTCGGTATGCCACGCACTGCAAATGTGTGTTTTTTGTTACTGACATTGGTCCAGGTATATCGGTGTGTTGAACGTGACGCTTCAGAAACAACCACGACGCAGGAGCACGACTAAAAAGGAAGAGGCCTCTGTCGCTGAGCGCAAGAAAACCAAGGAGACCATCAACGAGAATGGGGCTTCACAAGCCAAAGCTCCGACTGAAGAGGGCAAACCGCCAGAGAGGACGGCGCGGGTTATCAGCCACTCGATGGGCCGTAGCAGCAGCATGCAGATACCGACAGTGTCATTCGACAACAACCGGCATATTCTTCCTCGCAACCTCCTGCAACCTGAAGTAAGCGGCGAAGCATATCGGCGACGCAGCATCTCCACAACGAGGGCTGCAAGCGCGACCCCTGAACTCACGCTGCATGCCCCCACGACTCGGCCGCCCATGGACGAGCGCCCGAACAGCTGGGGCGCGACGACCGTCAACAAGCGGTTGCGGAACGAAGTATTCAATGACGCCTTTCTGAAAGAGCCTGTTGAGGTGCACAGGCACAGGCCACCGCACCAACGATCCATTCCTCGCACAACTTTGCAGCGCCTACTTCGATCGAGCAATTCCGATCCCAATCTGGCACAGGAAAGAACGACATCACCTGCTCCTCAAGCCGAGCAGCAAACAGAGCACAATGGTACCCATCAAAACGGTCTGCACCCGCCGCAAACACCGCCTAGCCTGCACGGATACACGCACAGCGATCTCGGGCCCCGCCATAATCTTTTCGCCGATGGATACAGCGCGGCTGGTGTCGAGGTGAAAGACTTGAGCGGGACTAGTGCGCCGGAGTCTGAAGCCTTCAAATGCAGCCCCTTGGCAGTGAAACGGAAACGCAGATACTCGGCGGGAGGATTGAGACGGAAGCCGCAGGATGTGCAGGAATCTCGGGGCAACTTGAAGTACTTTCAAGAAGCTGATGACGCGGGGCACAAGCTCGAAGAAGAGGGCATGACTTGGGAAGATTTGGAGAAATCGAATGAAGCGACAGGCGACGTCATCGCCACCATCGACCAGATCGCCGAGTCCGGGCCATTGGAAGAAAGGTCAGGGCTTGACGACATGACAGCCGCAGAGGAAGTCATCGAGAGAGTTCCCAGGCCGGTCAACCCCAAGGAAGCAAAGTGTCAACGTGATCGAGTGGAATACTTCCTGTTACTAGAAGACCTCACGGCTGGTATGAAGCGTCCATGCATGATGGATCTCAAAATGGGCACACGGCAATACGGTGTCGATGCCTCACCAAAGAAGCAACAATCACAACGGGAAAAATGCCGTACTACGACGTCAGGAGAACTGGGTGTACGGATATGCGGCCTTCAAGTGTGGAACGCGCAAACCGAATCCTACGACTTTCAAGACAAGTACTTTGGGCGTCGTCTCAAGGTCGGCGATGAGTTCCAGGCAGCGCTTCAGAAGTTCCTATACAATGGTGTTGACCTGCACAGTGTGCTGAGACACATTCCCGTGATTCTGAAGAAGTTGGCGCGCCTGGAACAAGTCGTCAAAGGCATACGGGGGTACCGCTTCTACGCGGCCAGTTTACTAATGTTTTACGACGGGGATGTCGCCTCGGACGATGCGACGGATTACGACACTGCTTACGACTCCATGACCGATGCGGCGACGGATACGGAGGAGACGTCGCGACACAAGAAGCGAAATAAGCGGGAGATTGATTTCAAAGTTGCAGACTTTGCCAACAGCCTGACGCCCTTTGACCAAGCCAAGGAGATGAAGTGCCCACCGAGGAACCCAAATGAACCGGACGTGGGATTTTTGAAAGGACTCAGGAGTTTGAGGATTTATTTTCTACGGATTCAGCGTGACGTACGGGCAGAGCTCGGGCTTGGTCTGCTGCGGAGGACTGATTCTAGCTTGCCCGAGGGTGCGGACATGCTAGACGACGACTTTGACGACGGACTTGCCAGCGACTGAGCACTCAGCGAAAACAAAATTTCTCCCACCGGCGAATAGCGGCGGGTAAGCCGCCATGACCATGTTTTATTGGATGGAGTCTGGCTTTTCTCACGGGATCTGCACGAGATAAAACGAACAGATGGATGAAGTACGGGGAACATTCGGGACCTGGAGTTATACGGCGCTGGCGCAAGCATACAGCTGTGCTGGATCAGTATGGCAATGCCCTCATACCCGGTGACTGGCGTTCAGGAAGGAAGGATTGATTCATGCGAATTTTATGATGAGTTTGGACCTTATCTAGACAATTAGAACCCTAAGCGTGTCGTTTGCCACAGTTTCGACCAATACCTAAGTGTAATATCCTCATTATTAAACAAGCAATGTCAAACTCGACATCTGATCCTGCTAGAGGAAGTGAGCTATTGCATGGGGCCGAGGTAAGATCAAAGTGATAAGCCCCGTCCCATATTCGAGACCAGCCTCACTTGTATGTGGTCAGTTACTCCGAACCTCACTCTCCCTTCTACAACCAGAGGCCTTCAGCATCTTGCTGACAACATGGCTCATTCTCGCGAGAACAGTAGCTCCATCGAGAGCTGGAGGCATCTTGTGCCTTCTGAGGACGAGCGAACAGATCCGTTTAGCGAGCTCGAATCCCTCCGACCGGCCACAAGACTTGTAGGGTGACACGCATTGACAGCAATCGCTGCTGACTGACGACTACAGACACACCACCGCGACTTCAGCAGCGGGGATCACGAGCATAGCCATCATGCCACCATCGCTTCGTTGCACCAGGATGCTTCATCCATACAGAGTCGACCCCCCTCTCGTATCTCCTCGACCATCCGCCGAGTAGTGACCCCCGTCTTTGGGAAGTCTGCCGTCAAGCGCGCGGCGACTGTCCTGGGCACGATTCGCGAGCATGGCGAGCACGGCACGCGTAAACGAGACGTGCTCAGGGGGCTTCTCCGTGGGAACAAGAGGAAGAGAAGCGAGAGTCCTGACGAAGAAGTGTTGAGTGGACAGTTCACAAAAGGATTATCTCTTGCGCAAGACGGCCAGCGAAGAAGAATCAATGTGTTGTTTGTGGGCGGGAAGACCGTTGGCCAAACAAGCCTATTGTTGTGAGTTGGACACTCTCTTCCTCACTCAATCTGTCCTCGATTCGGATGCTAAAAGTTGACAGCCGAGCTCGCTACGGCTATTTTCCAGATGTATGTTGATTCTCAAGCCGTTGCCGGGGACTGCTGACATTGACGAACTGTAGGCCAACGCCATCACGCGAACTTGCTACGAGGTCTACGCAGCTGACAGAGCATACAATGACAGACCCGTCACGTTGGAGATGTAGGATACCTCTGGCGCACCAGATCTGAACACTGTGCGACGATTGAGCTACATGGCCTGGGACGCGGTCGTTCTGTGCTTCGACGTGGCAGACAAGATTGGACTGTATAGTATCGTCAGCTGGGTAAGTGAAGAACATCCTTCTGGTGCAGCAGGTCTCGAGACTGATGCGGATCTTCCTGTCCAGTGGCGGTGTGCCGTGAACGAGGGCTTCACCTCCTCAAGCCGATACCCTCCGCTGCTGCACCTTGTGGGGATGAAATGCGACAAGCGTAGCGTCGAGGAGGGCTTGTTTGATACTGGCCCGGCCAATCTGGCCGCCTTTCCCACGTGTTGCGTGGAGGTGGAAGAAGCAACATGGCAAGCTCGACGGATCGGGGCGGATCGCTACCTGGAGTGCTCGGCACTGACGGGCGAGGGTGTGAAGAGTGTCGTGGATGAGCTCGGCAGGGAAGTAGTGAGAAGAGACTCCGAGCGGGATGAGACAAATGGTCTTGTTGTGAAGAAGAAGAGGAGGTTGTAAGGCGCATGTATCCCCAAGGTACTCCGTAGTTTGAGTGACCGAAATTGTGGGCGTGTAACTCACAGGCGGGGGCACCAACCAGCAACTACTCCGTATTCAGTCCTCTTCATCACCTACATCTTGATAAAAGTGTAAAAGTGTGTAGCTACGGTCCCTTAGTCCACGTCCAGAGAATGCCACCCTATGCACGCGTGTGGGACAAGGAGTGAGAAATATCTCAGGTCTTCAGCACTGCACAATCACCAAACCAGTGACCCGCGCTGCTCTTCAACCACGTTTACGATCCGCGCGCTGCTTTGTCGGCTTCACACATCCCAATGAGCTAATAGCTCTCCGATTATTTCAATTGCGACGATCAATCAATCTAGGACCATCTGGACGGACAAAGGACCAACCGCGCGCGAGGCCGGGTATCTCTAAAGCAAGTACCAGAATGACTTCACGACGCGGCATCGCGCTGGCCGCCATCGGGCTTGGAGTCGCAGCCGTATCAATTCAGTTCACCACGTCGAAGCACGTCCATGTATCTCATGTGCTGCTCCAGATCCTGGCTGTCCTCATGGCCACCGCACCTGTGGTGAGAACACCTTCAACACAAGGCTAGATTTGACTAACAGCATCAGATTCGCCATTTTGCTGTCTCTCGCCACAGGGCGCGCACGACCATTGACTGGAAAAGAGCAGCTCGTCAGCGCGTCGGCGACGAGTACTATCTGTTTGTTCTTGGCTCAGGCGGCCATACCAAGGAGATGCTCATGATGATGGACGACGGACAAGCCAGCTTTGCCGGAATCCACAGACGGTACATGGTCTCCCGTGGCGATGACATGTCACTGCATCACTTGGAAGAGTTCGAGAGTCGCATAGGGCTCGAGTACGACGCTGCAGAGACGGGCACATACGATGTTCGCACCGTGACCAGAGCACGCAGGGTACACCAGCCTCTTATCACAACCCCCTTCTCTGCATTGCTGAGCCTGTGCAATATCATCTTTGGAGTCTTGCTTTCGTCGCCGTCAGCAGGAACGCAGAGATACCCGACAATCATCTTTTCAAACGGCCCGGCAAATGGCCTCTTTGTGGCTCTGGCGGTCCATCTCCTGAAGATGGCACACGTCATTCCCGAGGGCAAATGCGCCTTTGTGTACATCGAGTCGTGGGCGAGGATATCAACGCTCAGTTTGACGGGGAAGCTGTTGCATTATACAGGAATGGCCGATGGATTCGCGGTGCAACACCAGCCGGTCGCGCTGCGCTATGGGGTGACCAACGTCGGTCCTTTGGTGTTCAACTGCCGCCGCGAAGTGTAACGGCCTTCTTTTATACATGATTATCATACAAGCTCTGTACAGTGTCCGTCTACGCGCCTTGGGGCACCTGCGCTGGGGTGTCCACGGCAGCATCCGCCTCCAACTCTGGCGCTCCGCGATCGTCCGCATCTTCCATCCCGTTATCCTCCAACATGTCGTCCTTGGAACTCGCCCTGAGCTCGGCCTGCTTGGCAGCCCAGACCTTCCAGTTCTCAAACTCGTTGTTTTCCAGCTTCATGGCAATGTCTCTCCTGTCAAGACCAAAGTACGCACCGACGTGCCGCGCTTCCTCGAGGGTAACACGGCGCGCAATCTCTTCCTCTTGGCGCAGACGGTAGAATTCCCGCCTCGTCACATCATAGGCCTTTTCCTGGGTCATCCCCTCCACATCGATTCGATATAGCATTCGCTGAACGACAGACTCTCCCGACAGCGGAATACCAGGCTGCCGTAAGCCTTTGCTCCAATCCGTCTTTTGATAGTCCTTGCCGTCCAACTCGACGATCATCCTTGGCCGTGCTAGCTCCCATGGGTGGTCTTTGTAGAATAGCTTTCGTAGCGCGTCCTCGGGATACACAATCTCTTGGGGTTTGTAGTATTGCTTGTTGCTCGTGCTGTCGACCACATGACGGGGACGGACTGTGCGGACAAGTGTCTCGGACGGAGGTGTCGAGCGAAGGACATCGTACCAAGGAGGTCGGACTGCGCCCTTGTCGGTGCTGAGCAGGTTGGTTTTCAGCAGGTCGTTCTTTGTGCGCCAGACATTGGCTGGGCGGAGTTGACGGGCGCCCATGACCCCGGTGTTTGGATTGATCGAGGAAAGGTGTAGGGCGGGATCAGCGTAGGCGCGCAGTTCGCGTCGTTGAGTGTTGCGGCGAACCAAGAACTCGAAGCCGTGGATGGAAATTTGGCGTTGAAGGGACTTTGGAGATTTGATTGGAGCATAACAGCCTTTCGGTGGACCAAGCGCGGTCTGTCGACGCAGGGTAGGCATATCCGCGCCTAGTGATTAAGCACGCGCCAAACCTCACCAAGAAATTTCCCTATTCTGCACCAGCTCTCTCCAAACCGTCACTCGCCAGTGGGAAGCCAAGCTCGAGAACAGCACGCCTGCCGCCAACCCCGAGACGGCCTTGCAGAAGATGACCAAAGACTCATGAAAGTCTCCGGTCGAGTGGATGGCACCGTCTGCAGCGCCGTGCTGTCCAGAAACCGCTCGGCCGCCGCCAACGCCGTTGCGAGCTTGACTGGCGAAAGAATATCGTCCCCGAGCATCGACCGACGCCCATTCTGCACAGCGCACGGTGCCAGCGTGTCAAAGCGAGCATGCCAAGGGAGCGCAAAGCCTGGGCCGAACTTCTTCTGCTCGAAAACAGCCCAATGGCTGCACTCGACTTTCATTCCCTACGACAGCGTTCAGACCTCGTCCCAGCCGCGGAAACGAAAACCGTACAGCACTGCTGCTGCCTCGCAAACTACCACACCCGCCCCTTACAATGGGGCATACCTCCCCGTGCGCGACAAAGCCGTACTCCAGTCATATGTCCCCTCCGAAGACACAGGCCCCGTCGACCAATACTTCGACTATTATCGCGATCCCTACCGCCGAGGCTACGCTCAGCCTGATGGACCCAAGTTACGCATCTCCGAGTCGAAGCACGATGTATCCTATCCTGGGAGAGAGGACATCTGCAGCCCCTCTGACGGCACCGCGACACAGTTGGAACACCTCTGCAAGGCTATCCGCCTCCAGATGCGCCACCCCAGCCGCAACACACACGCCGCCATACACAAAGCCTACAGCCAGCTCCCGGAGCCTCGAATGCTGAACTTCACTGGCCAATGGCGGGCGCGTCTCCTCAAAGTCATGGGCACGCCACGCAGGCGCGATATGGAGTCCATGCTACGCTACTTTGGACTCATAGCCGATATCAAGTCTGCCGGCCTGACCCTCCGTCGCTCGCAATGGAACTATGCCCTATCCTTTGCGACAAAGTACACATCAAAAGCTGGAAAGAGAGAGATGGACAGCGCGCTGAGGATGTGGAGGGAGATGGAGCGCGACGCCCAGATACCGGGCAATGAGGTCACGTTTAACATCCTCTTTGACGTGGCAGCCAAGGCGGGCAACTTCCTTCTGGCTGAGATGGTCTACGCCGAGATGGACAAGCGAGGCCTGGAGTTCAATAGGTATCACCACGTCAGCCTCATCTTCTACTTTGGCCTCAAGCTCGACTCCTACGGCATTAGAGCAGCCTACAGGGACATGGTGGAGTCTGGAGAAATGATCGACACCATCGCGCTGAATGCAGTCATCTCGGGTCTGCTACGCTGTGGGGAAGAGGCGGCGGCGGAGGAGACATACCAGAGGATGAAGAGCGGCAACACGCCCGCCGCCGCCGAAATGCCGCCTCGAGACTACATGATGGACAAGGTCGTCACCAAGGTCCTCATGATGTTCTCCAAGTTGGGCAAGCACCATCCCCCGCTACGCAAGTCGTTGCAGACGAATGTGCAGTTGGCGCCGAATCTCCGCACATATCGGCTCTTTGTCGAGCATTACGCCATCAAAGTGGGCGATCTGCGGAAAGTGGCGCAATTCCTCGACGAGATGAAGTTTCTCAAGATCCCGATACACCCGACAGTGTTCCTGGCCTTGTTCAAGGGGTTCTTCGTTCATGGGGGCTTTGAGGGGTCGGATTGGAGCGAGAAGCGTCTCCAAAACGTCCTGTCTGCTCTGTACACGGCCAGCGACGACAATGCACGGAGCTTCCGCATAGACCAGTGGCTGGTAATATGGGCGCTCCGCGCGGTGAAGAAATGCTGTTCGAATGTCGAAGCAGTGGAGACGACCTACGCTGAGCTCGAGTCGCGCTGGGCGGTGCCCCCGGAGCGCATCAACTTCATGCAGTCCTTTGCGGAGAGCGTTGTGGAAGGGCGAGATTTGCAGTCCCAGGACGCAGAAGTTGAGAGCAGTCTCCACAGAGGATTCCATCGTCAAAGCCCGGAGTTGTCTGAGTAGCCATGTGGCGGGAACCCGTATCTGTTGCGAGCAAGCGTGCTTTGCGTGTATCGATAGGACTATTGTAACACATTGTGTAAATATACCCTCTGTATATATGCTTTTGAGAATACACGTCATTGTGACAATCGAGAACAATGGAGGCACTGTGGGCACGAGGTTCGAGGCACAAATGAAATTGTAAAGGCAGCTGCCCTGGTCTATTTGTTTGGAGTACATGTCCAGATCCTATAGCTTCGTGGCCGACCCGTCGCTTAAGCCTTGTAGCTCTGGTAGACTGCGAATCCGTTAGCATTTTCCCCTTGTTGACAATGGGACATCAAGCAATCCAGGCCTATGGTTCCGAACATCGAGCGAGGTCGAGCGAAAGACCTCGAGACCGTGGGGAGGTGCATGCGGAAAGACGTACCGGCAATGCCGAATGGGGCGAAGAAGCCAGTGGCCATGAACGACCAGTATCCCAGGCCGAACCACTTGCTCTTGGGGTTGAAGGGAATGTTGGTGTAGGGGCCCTCGGGATAATGGTAGGGCGAGGACATGCGGGCGCGCGTGGCGTGGAAGCCGCGGCGGGATACGAGGGACGTGGTCGTCCTGGTGGCGGCGCGAGACAGCATCTGGTGTTGGTCAGTCAATGCGTCAGGGAACTATTGCGAGAGATGCATAGAGTCGCTGAACATACTTTGACGGTTGTGGAAATGGCGCTGGTGGTGATTTGACAGCTGGGAACCGAAGTTTGGAGTGGTGATGGCCTCAGCCGATTTCTCGGGTGAAGTCGAACGGGAGGACTGCCACGTGACCTATATTCAGCTGGGCGATGCTTAGTAAGATTGACTTCACGCTAAGGACGAGGCTGTGACGTCGGGTAATTGGAGCAGAGCACTGACCGCTTTAGTCGAAGCACTGGAGCTGCAGTAACTTTTTTTTTCTGCCGCTGTGCGTCTGCAAGGCAGCCCACTTGTTGCTGGCTGGCTCTCGATTCTTAGCATCGTGATCGCTCTACATATCCTTCCAGATCGGCCACCAGAGGCGCCATTACTGCACACAACCTCCATGTGCGCTGTGCCCATGCGACGTGCGTGAATTCATCTGCTAAGACGGAACCTTTCACCCCCTGTCAAAGCCGAACGCGCACTCAACGAAGCCTCTACCAAGCCATCGTGTTGACGTTGCGATGGACGACTTGTTCGACGTTTTCGAAGGCAAAACCGATGCCCACAGCGCGAGCGAAGATGAATTACCCAAACCTTCCAACCATCGCAACCGCGCCGGCAGTAAGAAGCGAAAAATGGACGAAGCAATGAACTCTGCTGTCGAAAAGACCAAGGCAAATCCAACAAAGGGTAGCACAGCGACCGACACAGAAATGGCGGATGGGACAGAAGCCGACGAGGAGGATGAAGACGACGACGAGCAAGAGGATTCCTCGCAAGACGCCGAGGAGGAGGAGGAAGACGGCGCAGATAGCCAGCAGGATAAGAAGCGGCGCAAAAAGGAAGACGCGCAAGGGCCAGTGTTGACAGACACTTTCAATACCGCGCAGTCTCGAGAGGTCGCAGGTGCGGCCACGCTGCTGGCCCAGGACTCGTCTCTGGTACTCTCACACAACATTCAGCATCAAGTGGCGTTGCCGCCCGACCTGGACTACGAGTACGTCCCGCTGTCTGAGCACAAGAGCCCCGAAGAGCCAGCGCGCACGTGGAACTTCAAGTTGGATCCGTTCCAGAGCTTGTCCGTCGCATCGATAGAACGGGACGAAAGTGTTCTCGTCTCCGCGCACACGTCTGCTGGTAAAACCGTGGTGGCGGAATACGCCGTGGCCCAGTGCCTCAAGCGCAACCAGCGAGTCATCTACACCAGCCCGATCAAAGCGCTGAGCAACCAGAAATACCGCGACTTTGAGGCAATCTTTGGCGATGTGGGCCTGATGACTGGTGACGTGACCATCAACCCCACGGCATCCTGCCTCGTCATGACCACAGAGATTCTGCGCTCCATGCTGTACCGTGGCTCTGAGATCATGCGCGAGGTTGCTTGGGTGGTGTTTGATGAGATCCACTACATGCGAGACAAGACGCGTGGTGTTGTCTGGGAGGAGACGATCATTATGCTGCCCGACAAGGTGCGCTACGTATTCCTCTCAGCGACGATTCCCAACGCCTTCCAATTCGCCGAATGGATCGCCAAGATACACCACCAGGCTTGCCATGTCGTCTACACGGATTTCCGACCGACACCGCTCCAGAATTACTTCTTCCCCATGGGTGGCGCGGGCGCGAGAATGGTTGTTGACGAAAAGGGCAACTTCAACGAGAGCAACTTCAACACCGTCATGAAGGAGGTCGAAGAGAAGAAGGGCGCTGAATCGAATGATGCCAATGCCAAGTTGAAGGGCAAGGGCAAGAACAAGAAGACGAGCAAAGGCGGTAAAGACGATGGTACGGACATCAATCGCCTCATCAAGATGACGATCCGGAAAGAGATGAATCCTGTCATCGTGTTCAACTTCAGCAAGCGTGAGTGTGAAGATCTCGCGCTCAAGGTCTCCAAGATGGGCTTCAACGATGACTCGGAGAAGGGCATGGTACGCAAAGTGTTCAGCAGCGCCATTGACAGCTTGTCGGAGCAGGATCGCGAGCTGCCACAAATCTCAAACCTCTTGCCGCTGCTGGAGCGTGGTATCGGCGTGCATCACTCCGGACTCCTCCCCATCCTCAAAGAGACCATTGAGATTCTCTTCCAGGAGTCGCTGATCAAGGTCCTGTTCGCCACCG